GGATTCTAACCAAGATATGCCATGAACAGAGCTGCTCACAGCTCTGAGCTTCTATTTTTTTTTTTTTTTAAGGGAAAAGTGTTTGTTCCAGTAATTTGTAACCTGCTCCGCTTTCTGCGTGTTCACCTCTCCTATTCCCTGCTCCAGCCCCTCCACCTGATATTCTCTGAAGCTTACAATGTTGTGAACTCTCTGGTCCAGTTCCTACTCTCCTTGCAGTTTATACATCTGGAGATTTCATTCACAGCCCGCTCTCAACCTCTCTGTCTCTGTCACCTTTCTTCACCATGGCACTCGTAGCTGAGTTTCACCACTGGCTGCAGGATGTGTACATATATATATATATAATTTGCCCTCTTGGACTCCCAGTACCTTCACTGTAAAACAGGCAGAAGAAGCTTGTGTGGTCCATGGAACAGTCATGTAGGTGACTACGACAGATAACCAGAGCAAAAGCTTATACTGTCTCAATCATGATATTTATCGGTAGTACGCAGGTCAGTGGCATGTGACCCCGCTGGTAATACTTTTGTCAGCCCGTCGTTGGGGGCAGGGAGCCGTTGCCATGCCTGCTTCTGCAGTCCTGGGCCCCCTTGCAATGGGCCTAAGAAGCTGGTCCACTTGCGAGTGTGAAGGTTTCAAGCGGAGAGGAGACAGGAAGTCCTGTCTCCAGGACCACACTCCCGTTGAGGAGCTCAGATCAGGGAAGAGAGATCGCAGAGCAGGAGGGTGTGTGATGCATCTCTCAAGAGCAGAGTCCGAGCTGCAGAAGGCCTGCCCGTGTGTCCAGGAGAGGGCAGAGCTGGAAGGGAAGCTGGTGGAAGCCAGTCTCAGGTCAAGGATCCCAGCACATGGGGCGGGATGTGCTGACCTGACTCAGGGAGGCAGAAGATGCTTAGACCACAATGTTGTTTTCATTGAGTCACTCAGTCCTGTCTGACTCTTTGCAACCCCGTGGACCGTAGCCCCGCCAGGCTCTTCCGTCCATGGGGTTCTCCAGGCAAGAATACTGAATTGGGTTGCCATTCCCTTCTCCAGGGGATCTTCCTGACCTAGGGATCGAACCCAGGTCTCCCGCATTGTAGGTGGATTCTCTACCAGTTGAGCCACAAGGGAAGCCCAAGAATACTGGAGTGGGTAGCCTTTCCCTTCTCCAGGGGATCTTCCCGACCCAGGGATCAAACCCGGGTCTCCTGCACTGGCAGGAAGATTCTTGTCCATCTGAGCCACCACGGAAACCCCCCTCAGACCATGACACTGCTGAAGGAGGTGGTCAAGATGTGGCTTTGACCTAGTCTCCAAGGTTGGGAGTCCATTCACTTTAGCCCCATGTCTCTTTGGAAGGAACCTCGCTGGTTCCCATCTCTGGGGCGTGAGCGCGGGGCACTCAAGTTGAGGTCAGGCTGTGGTCTGCCAGACCTGGTCCTTGCAAGTCCCAGCAGGACCCATCCCCACATGGGACAGGTGAGGAACACTCTTCCCAGACAGGACGACAAGGGGAGAAGTTGTCCCGATGCCCCAGACCCTGCCCCCAGCGTTGCCATAACAACATACTTCTCAGCATCTGGCCCCCAGTTCTTGCTGCTGTTGTTAACCCTCTTTATGGGCCTCCCAGGCAGCTCAGTGGTAAGGAACCAGTCTGCCAATGCTGGAGATGCAAGTTCGATCCCCGTATCTCCAGCAAGATGTCCTGCAGAAGGGAATGGTTACCCCACTCCAGTATTCGTGCCTGGGAAGTCTCATGGACAGAGGAGCCTGCTGGGCTACAGTCCCTGGGCTCACAAAGACTCAGACATGATTGAGCGTCTGAACACAGCACACCCTGCTTATGGCCAGCACCTGGGTCTGCCTAACGCCCTTGTGAACTTTGTCACCAGCTTTTATGAAACACCGGGCCTTCCCATAATGGCTTCTTTCTTGAACACATTATTGCCAGTAATTAAACCATGTCCGCTGTCCAGCTTTGGCCCCCACCCAGTCTATTAAATTCTTATTTCTCTGATGTCAAGCCTACGAAAGACCATGCCTGACCTCAGACCAGGCTATTCATACACAGCTCCAGCCCTTATTGTTGGAGTGGTGGACATTGATAATGTAGGGAGATATCAGTGCCCAGTGAGGATGGGTGCGGCTCAGCGAGGGGGCAAGGAGGTTAATACCAGATTATCTAAAATTGTTAGGGGCATTTAGCGATTTTGGAGAGTTAAGCTTGTAAAGGAGACTCGAGTTAGTATGATGGAGACACTTAATGGGGAAAGCTTTCCTGCAGGACTGAGATCTTTTAGCCAAATGATTTTTAGATCAAAGAGGGAAATTTCTAATCCTAAACAGTTGAGATCTATCCACTGCTTTTGAGAATCCTGCATTAGGAAGATATGTTATTATGAACGGAAGAGCAAATATCCATGCAATAGAATCTGACAGCAAAAAAAGCATGAATGAAGTATTGATGTATGTGACAGTATATGGATGAAGCAAAAATACTGTTGCTCGGTTGCTAACTTGCGTCTGACTCTTTGCGACCTCATGGACCGCAGCACACCAGGCTTCCCTGTCCATCACCAACTCCTGGAGCTTGCTCAAACTCATGTCCATCGAGTTGGTGATGCCATCCAACCATCTCATCCTCTGTCGTCCCCTTTTCCTCCTGCCTTCAGTCTTTCCCAGCATCAGGGTCTTTTCTAACGAGNTCCTCCTGCCTTCAGTCTTTCCCAGCATCAGGGTCTTTTCTAACGAGTCGACTCTTTGCATCAGGTGGTCAAGGTACTGGGGCCTCAGCTTCAGCATCAGTCCTTCCATTGAACATTCAGGACGGATTTCCTTTAGGATTGACTGGTTGGATCTCCTTACTGTCCAAGGGACCCTCAAGAGCATAATGTAAAACATGATGAAGCGAAATAATCCAGACACAGAAGACTACATATGTTCTGATTCCATTTACATGAAGTGTCCAGAGTAGGGAAATTTCTAGAGAAAGAATGTATGTTAGTGGTTGTCAGAGTCTGAGGAAAGGGACTGAAAGATGGACAGCTTCGTGTCAGTGGTGAAGAAAAAGTCCAACAATTAGTGATGATGGTGGCACTGCCTTACTACTAAAACCAGTGAATTATACAGTTTAAATGAGTCATTTTTGCATATGTGAATTTTATATCAGTAAATTTATAATAAGAATATTTTTGGAAAGGTATATTATTGGTTCAGTGTTCTGTTGCATGCAAACAAAGGTGATACTATTCTATTCACTATGATATTCTTAAAATTAAAAGTTTAGGCATTCAGACATAGGTAATGGGCTACTTTAATCTCGTAGCCAACCTTGAACTTCAGAGAACAGGAGGTCACAGCGTCTTAATTACCAGGTGACCATTTCCGTTAGCTCTCCCAACCTACCCTGCCTAGCACAGTCTGATATACAGTATCATAATCCAACCAAAATTTTAGTCATGTACGATGACAAGTTTCAAAGAGAAATTCAGAATCTAGAGATAATAAATCATAGTCCCACAGAACTGTAATTCAAAAGGACGCATACACCCCTATGTTCATAGTGCCACTGTCTACAATAGCCAAGATATGGAAGCAATGTAAATATCCATCAACAGATGAGTGGGTAAAGAAAATTATACATACAAATAAAATACTAGTCAGCCACAGGGGGGAAAAATGAGATAATGCCATTGTCAGCAACATGGATGGATGCAAAGATGATCATGCTAAGTGAAGTAAGTCAGAGAAAGATCAATACCATATGCTGTCACTTACACATAGAATCTAAAATACGACACGAATGAACTTATCTATGAAACGGAAGGGGACTCACAGACACAGAGGACAGACTGCTGGTTGTCAAGGGGGCGGGGCGGTTGAGAGGGATGAACTGGGAGTTTGGGATTATCAGATGGAAACACACACATATATAGGATGGATAAACAAGGTTCTACCGAAGAGCACAGGAAACTATCCTCAAATCAGTTCAGTTCAGTNCTTTGTGACCCCATGAATCGCAGCACGCCAGGCCTCCCTGTCCATCACCAACTCCCGGAGCTTACTCAAACTCATGTCCATCGAGTCGGTGATGCCATCCAACCATCTCATCCTCTGTCGTCCCCTTCTTCTCCTGCCCCCAATCCTTCCCAGCATCAGGGTCTTTTCCAATGAGTCAGTTCTTTGCATCAGGTGGCCAAAGGATTGGAGCTTCACCTTCAGCATCAGTCCTCACTCACTCAATATCCTCTGATAAAGCATAATGGAAAAGAATATGAAAAAATGTGTGTATATATGTGTGTGTGTGTATATGTATGTATAACAGAGTCTCTTTGTACAGGAGAAATTAACACAATATTATAAATCAGCTATACTTCAATAAAGTAAATGGAATGAATGGCTTTGAATAAATCCTAATCCTGGTCTTTGGTATACATGTTGAGTGGTTTGTGCATATCCCCTCACTTAGTTGTACCACTGACCACATGCAGGAGGTAATGTCCTTCTGCTTTACAGATGGATAAACTGAGAGACAGACGTAGTAAGTCCCTTGTCCAGAGTCACGCATCCAGGGAAGGGGGAAAGAGAGAGAGAGAGAGAGAGAGAGAGAGAGAGAGAACGTGTTTCCCATGGGATCTGACCTCCAGGCTCAAACTCTTTTTTACTGATTGGTTGAAATGGAAAAGCCTCCAGGAAGACCCCTCTGTGGGTCATTTTCCTGCTGGTCTGTATTTCATCACTCAGCACACCCCTGAGAGATGGCTCACACACTTTTCCTTCCCGAACAGCTTGAAATTCTTCATTATTTTATACGTATTTGTATCATGAAGGCAAGGGCAAAACACGATTTCCATTAGAAACCCACTTTTCTGTTTCAGGAAGAGAGACACAGCAGGGTGGCAAGCTGGTCTTTCGTTAGGGCTGATATTTTAAAATTATATTAATGCACACAGGTGTATGCAGTTTTCAAATAGAAAAGGATTTAATGACTCAAAGTTTCTTTTTTCGTTTTGCAGAACAATGGTTCCCTGGTTTGGTGCCAGAATCACAAGCAATGTTCAAAGGTATGTTCCCGACAACTGTATCAGCATTTTTTTTTTTAATTAATTTTAGAATAAGTGTAAAGTCACAGGAAGCCGCAAAGTTAGTAGAGAGAAATCACATGTACTGTTCACCCTCTTTCCACCAATGTTTATACCTTATATATTTGAAGCACCGTAAGACAAGCAGAAAATCATCATTGGTACAAGGGATGTATTAATATAGTTCTGTAAGGTTTTTATCACATATATAGATTCCGTTAATGTAGTTACTGCTGCAATCAAGATATATGTATCAATATTTCTATATATTACCTTGTTTCTCTCTCCATTCTCTAGTTATGTTAGTCAAAAATGTTTTTAAGGAGAAAACATCTTCTGATTCCACTGGAAGACTTAATGCATTTGACTTATAGCTAAGTTATTTTGTATATGTTTCCTTGTGTTCAGGAACTGCTAAGTAATTCGAGTCTTTCAGTGAGCAGTCTCTTTTCTGAGTACTTCTCATTGCACACATTATTATTCTCAATCGTTCACATTATTCTCACATTATTCTCAATCGTATGTTTGATAGCATAAAATTTCTATTCACATTGTTCTCAATCGTAAAGTTCACATTATTCTCAATTGTATGTTTGATAACATAAATTTCTCAGTCCCCAAACATCATAAGCTATAAGGACCTGTATGGGTGTATATATGTAATATACATGTAGGTATATGCTTCAGCTCTAGTCTGAAAGTTGGTTTTATATTCAAATAGTATAAGTGAATACAGTTGAAACCTGCTATACATACCGGAACGCTTTGCGATCGTAGTAGAGTTTGATGAGATTCCTTTCGTGGGTGCTACTATTAGACTGAAAATTGAAGCATTCTTTTATTTTACAGTCAAATTTGTATAATCATGTGAATGTGAAGTAATTTGGTGAAAGCAAGCTGTGCTTACCTCTGGCTGTCTAGATCCTGGGCAGAAATGGAATGTCGGGTTTACGATCCTTTTCCTTTTTGTATAGTATCGTAAACATTGGCCCTGATAAGACATTTTCTGGTATCTGCTATATTAATTGTTCTTCAATTAGTGTTTTGGGTAATTTGCTTATGTCATCACTGCAGAAAAAGATTGTGTGTGTGTGTGTGTGTGTGTAAAAATATATGGCTACGTGACTAAATTTCATAAGCAGTTTTTTTTCCAGTTTTTTTGGGTATAACATGATGGTAATTTTTTGTATCAGTATTATTTATACTTAGCACCCCTTTTATCCTTACCCCATCAAGAAATTAATTCTTTCTTGTACATTTGAAACTTGAATGGAAGAGATTCATTTGAACTGCTTTTAAAATACCCTAATTAAAGAACATTGCAACTCTGGGGAATACAGATCGTTGAACCATATTTCATAATTGAATGATCAAGGCTGACATGAGAGACTGAATTTCACAAGAACAGAAATCAATTCCTTTTGCCTGAAAGCAAAAATGAATCAATAAGTCACGGCTAACTCCAGCAGAACCTTTGGAATATATTACAAAGCTGACATAAATTTCAGGGTTGTCTTTAGTCTGAATCCGTGGGGATGAACCTTACATGTTAATCAAAGTTTATCTCCTTTGGATATTATCATCACTGGGTACATTCGCGGATAATTAGTTTGCATTTCTTTTGAGACTTTGAAGCACTGTGTAAGCTTTTCCTCTTGATCTTCTGGTTAATGAAGTGAAGGGTAAGCGATGATAACTCCATTTTACACGTGGGGAAATTCAAGCACATACATATTGGATAACGGTCCTGAAATAACTCAGCAAATCAGTTGTGGTGGTTTGTTCAGTTACTAAGTCGTGCCTGACTCTGTCATCCGATGAACAGTGGCCCGCCAGGATCCTCTGTCCATTGGACTTCCCAGGTGAGCAGATCGATAGAGGCAACTCGAGTTGGAAATGCCGTCTCATGCGTGGCCTTGAATAAAGATCTACAACTTTTAAAAACCGTTTTGAACAAATATTGGGACAGAAGAGTTAAAAAGAAAAAAACCACCAAGTCAAAAAGTTATGCTGATGAGATAACTGACTGTACGTTAAAAATAAAGTTTACATAATATTTTATAGAAAGTTGTTCAGTGGCTAAGTTGTGTCCAACTCTTTGCAGTCCCATGGACTGCAGCACGCCAGGCTTCCCTGTCCTTCTCTATCTCCCCGAGTTTGCTCAAACTCATGTCCGTTGAGTCAGTGATGTCATCCAACCATCTCATTCTCTGTCACCCCCTTCTCCTCCTACCTTCAGTCTTTCCCAGCATCAGGGTAATTTCAAATGAGTCGACTCTTCGCATCAGGTGGCCAAAGCATTGGAGTTTCAGCTTCAGCATCAGTCCTTTCAATGAATATTCAGGACTGATTTCCCTTATAATGGACTGGTTGGTTCTCCTTGCAGTCCAAGAGACCCTCAAGAGTCTTCTCCAACACCACACTTCAAAAGCATCAACTCTTTGGTGCTCAGACTTCTTTATGGCCCACCTCTCACATCCATACATGACCACTGGAAAGACCGTAAGACCTTTGACTCTACAGACCTTTGTTGGCAAAGGGATGTCTCTGCTTTTTATAGAAAGTACACAGTTTCTAATTAGTTCTGATTGTGTCTGCAAAGCTTGTCACCTTCAGGATGGCTCCAGAACATGGGTTCTCCTTCCCATCTAGTTGCCCGCCTTGTCCCGTCTGCCAGCATCTCTTGCCTGGACCAGTCCACGAGAATGCTCTCTGGTCTCCCAGATTCTACTGTGTGAACGTGGGTGTTGGAAAGACCCTTTACACGTGTAATCTGAATCATACTGCCATTTGCCTCATGCCCTTTAATATCTAAGCATCTCCTTCGGTGTAAAACACTATCTCATCTGCCTGTGGTCTCTCTCCTGTGTTCAATCCTCATCAATCTGTCTTTTCCCTCCTCCTAGAAAGCTCATCCCAAAGGCACCCAGCTCACCACACACCACCCCCTCCACCCCACCCCACCCCCCGACATTCACGTCTCAGCACAAATGCCACCTCCTCAGCATTGCCCTCCCGTATCGCCTCCCACCCCTTTACAGTGTCCTCGGCCATATTACACCCTCGTCACTATATATACCTGTTTCTTTGTCTCTGCATGTCTGTCTCCTTCACCAGAAAAGAAGCTTCAGGCAGCCATTGACTGTATCAGCTTTGTTCATTGTGGTATCTTGAAGCCTAGAACCGTGTTTGGATACAGAGGCGTTGCTTATTGAGCATTTGTCTTTTTTTTTTTTTTTTAACTTTTTATTTTGTATTAGGGTATAGCTGATTAACAAGCAATGTTGTGATAGTTTCAGGTGAATAGTGAACTGTATATGCATGCATACACATGCATCCATTCTCCCACAAACTCCCCTCCCATCCAGGCTGCCACGTGACACTGAGCAGAGTTCCCTGAGCTGTCCAGCAGGTCCTTGCTGGTTCTCCATGTTAAACACAGCCGTGTGTCCATGTCCATCCCAGACTCCCTGACTATCCCTTCCCCCATCCTTCTCCCTGGTGACCATCAGGTTATCACAGAGTATTGAGCAGAGTTCCCTGTGCTGTCCAGCAGGTCCTTGCTGGTTCTCCATGTTAAACACAGCCGTGTGTCCATGTCCATCCCAGACTCCCTGACTATCCCTTCCCCCATCCTTCCCCCTGGTGACCATCAGGTTATCACAGAGTATTGAGCAGAGTTCCCTGTGCTGTCCAGCAGGTCCTTGCTGGTTCTCCATGTTAAACACAGCCGTGTGTCCATGTCCATCCCAGACTCCCTGACTATCCCTTCCCCCATCCTTCCCCCTGGTGACCATCAGGTTATCACAGAGTATTGAGCAGAGTTCCCTGTGCTGTCCAGCAGGTCCTTGCTGGTTCTCCATGTTAAACACAGCCGTGTGTCCATGTCCATCCCAGACTCCCTGACTATCCCTTCCCCCATCCTTCCCCCTGGTGACCATCAGGTTATCACAGAGTATTGAGCAGAGTTCCCTGTGCTGTCCAGCAGGTCCTTGCTGGTTCTCCATGTTAAACACAGCAGTGTGTCCATGTCCATCCCAGACTCCCTGACTTATCTTCTCCCTGGCAAAAAAAGTTTGTTTTCTCGGTCTGTTGGTCTCTTTCTGTTTTGTAAGTAGTTCATTTGTATCATTTCTTTGTAGATTCCACATATATGGTGTGTCATACTGTATTTCTCCCTCTCCATCTGACGTAGTTTCACTTAGCATGACAATCTCGAGGTCCATAGATGTTGCTGCAGATGGCGTAATTTCATTCTTTGTAATGGCGAGTAATATTGCATGTTATGTATGTGCCACAGCTACTATATCCTTTCTCCTGTTGGCGTATGTTTGAGTTGTTTCCATGTCTTTGCTGTTGTGAATAGTGCTGCAGTGAAGACTGGGGTGCATGTACCCTCTTGAGTCATGTTTTTCTCTGGGTATATGCCCAGGAGTGGGATTTCAGGGTCATGTGCGTATGCTAAGTTGCTTCAGTCGTGTCTGACTCTTTGTGATACCAGGGACTGTAGCCCACCAGCCTACTCTGTTCATGGGATTTTCCAGGCAAGAATACTGGAGTGGGTTGCTATTTCATTTCTCCAGGGGGTCACGGCCATAGTTCTGTTTTTAGTTTTTTAAGGAACCTCTATACTGTTCTCCATAGTGGCTGTACCAAGTTACATCCCCACCAACAGTGCAGGAGGGTTCCCTTCTCCCCACACCTTCTCCATCATGTATTGTTTGTGGATATTTTCTATGAAAGCCATTCTGGCTGGTGCTCATTAAGTATTTGTGAATGATCCATGAATGAAATGTATACATTAAAAAAAAAGAGAGAAATGTATACATTACATTTTCTTCCTCCGCCAAAGTACATCCTTACTGTACTACCTTCAGGAAGAAGAAAGGTTATATAATCCATTTTGTACCTGAGTCATGTAGCATGATCATTTACTTAGTTTAGTTCAGTCATTCAGTCTTGTTTGACTCTTTTCGACCTTA